TAAATACCAGTGAGGTCTATCCAGATGTCACGTGTGAGGATGGATGTCCTGCCGATGACATTGGTTGAGGTCTTGCTAAATATCACGGATTGGTGGAAATTAGAATTCACGGGTCATTAAATCTCGTCCGAGTGTCTGAATGGTATACGAACTTGCCTTGTAACTGGAAGGTGCTGGGTTCAAACCCTGGCGGTGGGTGCATACTGCCGATGATTCCCCAAAAACAAGGATGAAACAGCTGGGTTTCCAGTACTCCTTGGTTTTCAATGGTTCTCTAACTGATATGAATCTATGATCAACTCGTAAGAATAAATATCAGCGTTGAACAGTTTAATCAACTCTTATAAATAATCCTATTGGGTCCCTCCCAGAGTTTTGAATAGGACTTCTATTTACGTTTTCGAAAGATTTCTAGTATATCTGAATGTCATTGGTAAACACTTTCCCACTTTAATGAATATAAGGAATTTGTTGAAATTAACAAGAGATATACAATGAAAATTAGACTCTGAAGGAGAGCCGAAGTGGAACATGACGAGTTGGACGTAGTTCTGAGGGTGATATGAGTAAGAAATGAAATTTTGTGGGCAGTCATATAGACACATAAAGGTGACAATAGCGGTCTGCGTGCAATAGAGTTATTCCTCTGAGGTACAATGTTCCACTCACGGTGTAAGCAATGAATTATAATATTTTTTTAAATACGCTAGTTTGTAGGCAATTAGTTGGTTTCAAGTTCGATTGCGCACTGACCATAATTAGAGAACCATTGGAAACCAGAGAGCAATGGATGGCTGCTTCGTACTTGTTTGAACCTCTACAGTAATAGTCACAGACTATCCTACTGCTAGGGATTGAACACAGGACCTTCAGGCTACGAGTTGAGCTCGTGGGATGGAATTCAGTAGCACATCAGCTCTAACTTCAGCTCAGTTTGCATCATATAGCGCAACCACCAGACAACGTCATCGGTGAGTATCTGTCCTCACAGTCGACTTGCTGGACTCCATTGGCCACGACTTCTAACTGGAACTTCAAGCAATTTCATCATGTCGTCACTAGTGAGCACCAGATTCATTTTCAAGTGTAGCTTTGCAGGGATTTGATTTATTTCAAGTTTCTAGCTGAAGACATTTCGTGATCGAACTCGAAATAATAATAATAAGTAATACGCTAAAGTCATGACAGTGTATAAAGCCATGGATCCTTCTCGCTACCAGACATTTAAAGGAATATGTTTTTAGTCTTCCTGAGCTGGATGACTTAACTATGAAGCCTTCATTGTCCTTCTAGAAAATGTATTCCAAACAAGGAGAACAGAACACGCGCTGATGTCTCTGAGTTCAGTTGCCTTACCACGCTCATTGCACACTAAATCAAAGGTGCAACATCCAACAATCTCCAAGGACAATGTAGGGAATATTAACGCGACTCCCATTCGCTAAAGCTGGTTGAGTTGCTATAATAAAGTTTAGCAGCAGTACTAACAAAGCCTTCAAGAAGACAATGTCAGGCACCCGTTTCTGTTGCACCTTACCAGACCACTTAGGACCACCTGACACGTGACATACTGCTGCTCGTATAGAACCCTTCTCCACTTCGGCCTTTAAGGTTCTTACTTAAATATCTGCTGCTACCACCAAGATCTGTGTCTATGACTGCTTCATTTAGATTTACCGCTAAATATAGTGACCCACCTACTGACTGCTGCTACTGAATTCCCAGACAAAGTCATTTTGACCTCAGTCTGCTCAGACTCAGCATGCAGCAACAGTAAGGTATAGGTTTAACGCCGGAGCAACATTCGTTTTCAGGGCTGGTTGTTTTGGCAGGTGACTTGTCACACATAAATTAACGGCCTTCGACTTCCATGGTCACCGTCCTGCTATCTAGACTAACCACCACCTTTTGTGGTATTTCCTAAGAGTCGCATCAGGTAGCTTAACTACAAGTTTGGTTCATCTCACACTTCTGCTTACGAAAAGTGGTCCACTCGGCACTCACATTTAAGGCAAAATTACGATCAGGAAAGTTAAGCTTCCAACCCATTTAAAGATGGAGAATAGCGTGAGGGTGTTTTCTCCCCAATGCCTTTGATCGCTCGCTTTACTATTTCTCAGAATGTCAGGTATCCTGAGGGGAACTTTGGAAGGAAGCAGCTAGCGGATGGTTCCATTAATCATGTTATACAAGCAATCGGCACGTTGGAATGGCTACAGTCCTTCATCAGAGTTTCCTCTGGCTTCAGCATTCGAAATTCTACTTCACCATCTTCACAGTGAAGTGGAAATCAGAAGTTTTCCATAAATGAAATAACCTTGTCCTATAATGACGACTCTGACTAAGAACAGCTGTCACTATAGGTTTTCTCCCAATCGTACTCATCTTTATTGATATTGAGAGTCTCTCTAACTCGAAACCTGATCATTTGATCGTATGACTTATTCTTTATTCATTGTATCTGATTGTATCATACTTCTAGAAATTGTCTGGAGATCTTCATGTTTCCTTTGGTTAAGATTTTGACATTTTCTCAGTAGAAACGATGTCCATAGTTGCCTGTATACATTGTACTTCTTTTTCGACTGTTAGTGTGTCTTCATAGATGCGAAGAAGAAGTGGACACATTCACTTTATCCAGTATAGCGTTTTTCACGGTTCATGTAGTCTAGCTTATAGATAATGCTCGTTTTGTCTTCTTTTCGACAGAGTTATTGAAAGACAGAGTTTATCTGAAAAATGTGATGTATACGGATTCGCATATGTGTGTGGTCACACATACATAGAGAGGAGTAATTGAATCTTTCATGTGAAGTTGGGAGAACGCATGCCAGATGAACACAGGTGGCAGACTACCAACCTCTTCTGTAGTGAAACATTTAACTGATATATAAATCACAGCAAAAGATATCGGAACAGCTTTTAAGATTATCTATAAAATCCATTAGAGGCACGTGTAGAAATACACTGAGGTAATAACCATCTGTAAAACCACCCCACCCCCGTCCACCTGTATGTACAATAGCGATTCATTGTTACAATTAACCTACCTTGGTAATCCTTATCTGATTATATTACCAAAAGTTGGGGCAACTATTATCTCTTTTATTCTTAAATTCTGTATTATTTCTCGGCTTAATTTGGTTTTCGGAGTTTCCGCTGATTGATTATATCGGACTGAAATACCCGGCCTCTGTTCATATGCTCAAGCGGTGTCTGAGCATTAACGTGACGTTATTTTTTTGGAAGACGACCGGTAGCATGTAATCCAGGATGCGTGTTTTGACCTACTCGACACTAATCATCTGGAAGTATCGGCGTTGCCAGTGAGTGAGAGTGTTCCTACTGAGACTTGGACCCACTAACCTACGTTTGAAACGATGAAGCGTTATCCACCAGGCCAATGAAGCCATCAGAGATACCTCTTATGCAACAGGTAAAAGTTAATATTTGTTTCCAGAGCAATTTTGCATTTCTCCTTGACTGATTATGCTGGACAGAAATGTTCGACCTCTGTTCACATGCTGGCCTCTAGTACAGACGTTTCGAAGATGTCTAAAGATTAACACCAAAGTGTTTGGTAGGATGGATTCAGGGTTTGAGTCTCAGTGCAAAATATATCACTCAGTCTAGATGTAAGTAAACCCAACTGACGAGTCCAAAAAAGAATGAGACGCGCATCTTGAATTCTACCGTCAGTCACCATCAGCCAAAATAACATCACACTAACCTTCAGAAATCGTCGAAACGTCTGTGTACTAGGAACTGAAATGTGGTCGGTTAACTCAGTCCGACATTATCAATCAATAGAAAACGATCATTATTAACTGAAGCAACATTCAACAACTAAGCTAATAATGGCACAGTATTTACTTCCTTAATTGGCAGTTTTGTTATTAAGAACGTTTTTAAATTCCACGGATGAATACTACTGAACACTCTGAACACTGGACAAAAGTCTAAGCCCAAGACTGATTAAATTAATGCTTACAGCAATTTTTAAGTATTGCCGACAGTCTGCTTAAATCACTCGATTAACTAAATTTTCTATGTATCTAAATGCATGGTATTTACTCCATTTCATATTGTTTTAATCAACTATTTATGTTTATGAATCACAATCTATACTAATGTAGATTTTTAAAAAGGTTTCAACCTACAGTAATGAATCTTTTTGGAGGAAACTGAGGAAGAACACTGTGGGGTACCGGAGCGTGTTTCAGATAGAATAATATTGTTTCAAATGATGCATTATCGATCATTATTATTATATTAGAATTTAACTGGTAGATGGTGACTAGCAGTGGAATCCAGGATAACGTGCATTTCGTATTATTTGGGACTCGTCGCTGGATGTATCTACATTCCCCAGTGAGTGGCGATCTTCCCGCCGAGACTGAAACCTAGTGGGCATTGTTTCAAACGCCAAAGCGTTATCCACGAGACCACTTAGGCCACGAGAGCCGCCTCTTATGCATTGTCAAAGTATCTACACAAGAAGCCGATATGTCAACCTGAGACCAAGCAATTCGGTCTAATCAATCGACGGGAGAATCTAAATTTCAATTAAATATTATTATATTACTTGTAGATTCTACACAAAAAGTAAATACCTTGCAATGGAAAACACTCTGAAATTTCTGTATGGTGTACAAAGGTATTTTTAGGGGCAGAGCTGTTACTGTTACATAAAAATATTGTACGAAATTAGACTGAAATGATTAAAATATGGGTCGATAGTTCAGGGGTAGAGTACTGGTCAAATATGCAGATGCTCCGGAGTTCGATCCCTAGCCGACGCATTCCTAAACTTAGTTGGCAGTAAGCCTGATAAAGAGGGAAGGTTGGGTGTGAGAATGGAAACCCTACCTTGTAAAAAACATCAGTGCAACTGAGACTTCAAAACTCAAGCTTGGAGTCCTTTACTCCCACTCAAAACGCAAAGGAATAAAGGAATAACAATATCGTAATATACACTTATTAAAAAAAGATAAACTTACTAATTCTCCTTTTAAATTTCTTCTTCCAGTAGCCAACGTAGGCGCAGGTTTCCTTGCTCTTCCTGGAGTTTGTGGACATCCACTACTGCATGTCGGTGTAGGCGATGCTTCACCATCATCTGATGAACAAGTAAATTTATTCCCTGCAAATCCAATTGTAGACGAATCCGGTGTCATGGTGATTGTACTAGTCACAGGACTTGCTGTCGAGACAACCAACAGTCTAGTTGGCGTTGAAGCACTCCGTGAAGTACGATTAATCGACAATGGTGCATTCTTTGTATCACAATTAATTCTTGAATGAATAAGATTTTGTCCACAATTTAAATTTGTTGGACTATTCGGTGTATTTTCATATATTCTCTCGCCAAGATTACAATAACCATTCGATTGATATGGTGGATGGTGTTGTGTATGACTTCCACCGGTGGTTATATGCTGTGTTGTACTACCACTAGGTTGATTCCCTGAGTGTTCTTCATGTCTTGGTGTTGGACATGAAGGTGGACAACGATTCATTCCTTGAAAATCTGACATATTACCATTTGGAGGAGAAAGCACAGCAAAACCATCCCCACACGAAGACAACTGTTGAGCATCATCCAGTCCATGAGGACGAAATCCAGTCCTAGGAGTGATTTTTAAGTCATCCGCCAGCGAATTACCATTCCAATGTCCAAATTCATTTTCTGACATATTTGAATAAGCCATATAATCATTATTGTATGGTATTGCATCGGTTATATTATCGTATTGTGATGTCATTAGATTACCTCGTGAAGGATAATTATTGTAATTACTTCGTGTACCATTATGATAGTTATGTGTTATCGTGTCAGCACTACTCCCACTACTACTAGTTATACTCACAGTAGTCGTATTGATAAATGATGTCGATTTCAGATTCAATGATTGATCACGATGATTTAAATTCACAGCCTCTGAGTTATTATTTGTATAATTTAAACCGTTTGATGGACAGTAAGTGGTATTCTCACGATTAGTACTATTATTATTATTATTACTATTATTAGTATTGTGACTACTGTGAGTATCCAGCATGCTTGATGTTCGACTATAATCTGATTTCGATTGTAACAATAAATGTGGTGCAGGTAGAGACGTATTACGTCGACGCTGATGTTCTATAGGGGTATCATTGGTATATGAAGATGAATTCGCTGCAGTTATATGACTCATTGGATATATGGAATTATTATTATTATTACTATTATTATTATTATGAATATTATGATGAAGACTAAAGGTTTCAATAGTTGATTTGGTCAAATTTCCATTCGGTTCATGGATTAACTTAGTTGGACAAGCAGATACTGTAGACATGATTCAATAATTCGTCTGTTCACCTGTTTGTTCGTTTGATTTCCAGGATTTTCAAGAGATTTTGTAGACAGATATAAATCTAAACGAGAAAAGAAAGCAAAAGAAAATAATTCTAAAGAGTTAGTCCCAAGGATTCGACTGGTTTTTCTGAAGATTAATTACGAAATAAATACACTTAGAGAATCACTGTTGAAATCCAGGAAGTATTGGACAGTTGTTTCGTCCTAGTTGTGAACTCTTCATCAGTATACCTCACCAGTGATTGAACCCAGGACTTACAAGTTACTTGGGGAGCTAGCTGATCATTCAGCTGTTGAAACGGAGTCTAATATCGCATGAATTCTAACTTCTGTCATTTAGCGATATATAACGCGACTGGCAGCTAATATTATCGGAGAGCGTTTGTCCTTTTATCTAACGTAGTGGATCCTACTGGCCACGACTTCCTAGCAGAGCTTAAAGTAACTTCATTCTGTGGTTGGTTAGTCACTAATGAGCACTACACTAACTTTTAGGAATTTGATACAGTGTAGAGTTCTCACTACGACCACTGATATGTATCCACATGATGTGTGTTTTTTTTGACAGTCTATTATATTTTGCTATGTGTATATGGATCGATATTCCATTATAACTGACAATATGCTTTTGTCTGTGCACTAACTAAATAAACATGTATGACCTTGTTATCATATGACATTACAACCAATCATGGTAAGATGACTGTCTATTGGATCATGTGTATTAGCAATTTTCATACATACTTTTGTATTAGACACTTATTCTGACTTGTTCCCACGTTCGTACATTGAGTACCATTTCACTCACACACTAGTGTGACATTTATTTTCCTTGTTTGGAAAATACAAGTATCATCGTAAACCTGGTGGTTTTCTGATTTCCCTCTTTCCGCGTCAGGACCATTAACTACTCGACGAGTACATAACATAATTGGCGACGGGGAAAACTCTAATAACCCACTCAGCAGTACATAACAATCACCAACCATTTAGGTTAAAGATATCAGTCACAGAATCATTGTAAACCACCAAGAAGCACTGAAAAACAAGTGATTCACAAATTAACGAGTAATTTCCAACACTATTATCAAAGTAGTGCTTCTGTATGGTTCAGATACTTGGCTTGTGCTTCACAAAAATCCTTTCCAACAAGCTACTGCAGACTTTTATCAAAATTTGCCTTCTCTGATCCCATATTGAAGATCAGAGGGTTGGACAGATTGGATCAGCAACAAGAAACTCTGGAAACGAGTAAATCAAGCTTATATCGCCCAGTAAATATACAGAAGGAAATGGAGATAGATGAGACACACACTGAGGAGACCAATGAGTGACATTACACACCAGGCCACCAGTTGAGTAAGACCTGAATGTTAAACGAGGAGTTGGACGTGAGTCTGAGGGTAATATAGAGGAGATCGTGTGGAGAGGAGATGAAAGGTAATGGGCAACCATGGAGCCATATAGAGTAGACTATAGATAGCAGGATAAATTGAAGGTGTGTTACTGAAGCTTCACATATTCCACTCAGAACCCAAGGGAATACCAATAATATATAATACATTAAGCTGACATCGAAATATTCATACAGTACTAATGATTCAGTGTACATTACTCAACAACCATATGTATATTAATATACTTGGTAGTACACCAACGAATCATACCTAAGAAGTGAGAAACGATGACATCTAATGGCTATCTAATCCTCAGTTAATGGAAAACGCATCGAATCTGAGATGTGCTCATTGGAATTTTAATGTGTAATTTTCTGCTGGACAACAGATTATGTTAATAGCAGTATTAACAATGTATCACTGACTATTTTGATGTAATTATGTTATCTGAGCTGTTCGATTTATTTGCGAAACTTTCATTGTCTCACTAGACAGTATCTTCAACGCATATTTCAAAATGAAGTTGTTGTGGGACAATGAATGCTTCGCAAATAAACCATCCAGCTCAGAGAACACAACTACATCAAAAGCATACACCTGAGCTACAAATCTTCTCTATTATATCATCTATCATCCATCCTATTCAATAAATTACTGTAAAATTTAATAGTCTACTGTAGTGTCCAAGTTTGATTTTAACATTAGTCTAGTGATCGGCGTGAAAAGGCCTATCTCATACCTAAGCATGAGTTAACAATAAATCTACCCAGTAAACACTTCATTAATCATCTCTGTTTTATATTGACAAATATCAGAATATCCACTATGTTGGAATTGTTACCTGTTGGTCAGTAGCTGACTGACGTCTAAACAGTCAATGTGCACATGGTTGTTAAAGGTTACTGAGGTAAGATAAGCGTTCGTCAGCTAAAATGGTATAAAAATAAAGTTGAATTACTGTCCACTATTCTCGTCAATGCTCTGTTTGAAATAATCAACTGAGATAGCAGTATGACATCAGCAAAAGGATAGTTTTGTACTCCCTAAGCTATGCATGATAATCACTTATTCAAGTAGAACCTGGTATGGTCGGGGGTCCGTAGACTTCAGCTTTCCTTATGAAGCCCTTTCATATGGCCATGCATGCATAGCCTACTTCTGCCATGTAATCCCTATCGACTAACTTCACGCTGCTGAGGTATTCCTCAAAAAAGTGAAACGTCGAATTTGAACGTCTGACATCTACAATTGGACTGGTGAATATGGTGGTCTACCTAAGGGTAGGCTGGAAAACCCTGGTCCGAAACCTACAGTACACACGGGCACCAGAATCCTAAAGGATCGAACAGAGTATTAATCAGCTTTGGTTACCATCAACCACGCAAAGACGAATCTTAACTCTGCTCCTCTGCTTTGTGGATCAGACTCAAAGGCAAAGGCTCGAGATGAGGGTGTCCCCTTAAGACAACCGTTTGCTTCGAACTGCGCGTCCTGGTAGTATTCTAACCCTCCCACAAACTATAAGACTTTGTGTCTCCCATCCCCTGGTGCCCGTAATGTACCAGGTTTTGTTTTTAATCATAATAATAGCACAATACAGACAGAACTACTTCACCTACTAAAATTAGCTACATTATAGACCATATGTTGATAGATAGATAGACAGGCGTATACATCAACTATTACGAGAATATTTTAGAATTTCTATAATTAATATGTCTGTCTATCTCTCCCTATCTCTCTCCTCCTATCTATCCATCTCTCTTCTTTTTCTGATTATTTTCTTCTGCGTTGAACACAGATTCTCCACAAAAATTTCCCAAATGACCTTCTAAATTTTTGTTCTAACTAACCGACCTCTCGTCTGGTTACTGTTATTGTTGTTGTTGTTGTTGTTGCTTTAATGGTTGACACACGTCTATCATCTCACAGTATGACCTTGACACAGATGTCGGACTCTCCAGTTTTTATATTTTGAAAAAAAATTTAACAGTAAACAAAAGATACTTCTCTTCATGCAACTAAACTCTGCAAGCAGACACACCTACTTGCCTACAATATATATATATATATATATATATATATATATATACTGTGTGCATACATCCACAGATATATGTATGAACTACCCTAACCTGATCTTTTGTACTGAATAGTTTTAATCAATCAGTCCACTGGCGAGGAAAAGTAATAATAATAATAGAAAGAATTTCTATCCCTTTGGCTATACTTTCTGTCCACTTCATTGTTTATTATTATTATTTCGTCTATATTAATATTAATAATAATATAATATTCAGTTTAGTACTCAAAATAGAAGACAATTAGCCTACTTCTTTAGGGCAGACAGTCATTTGACTAAACACTGGTGGAATCTTAGCAGGAGAAAGGATTATGCTGAAAACTTTTTTTATTAATTTATTTACTATCATTACACAACAGAATGATTATAGTTTTCTCCAACTAATTGAAAAAGCCTTATTTAGAGGTCAAGTAGCACTACATCTGATTTTATTAATTCATTAAAAAGAAGGGAGTTGAAAAGCCCTCTGTTATTCTCACGAATTAAAACAAAATTATACGTTCAATAGTTATTGAACATAATTTGAATGAATCAATTATGATTGGTTAACTGAAATTCAATTTGTCTACTATTGTGCATGGATTGTTTATATATATATACATATAATGCTCAATAGCTATTGAATGTATAATTTTGTTTTAATGAGAATAACAGTGGGCTGTTCAACTCTTAAATAAGTAAATAGTTTAACAGATGAGTCATGCTAACCACTTCGACTAACTAAAAATAATGAGTTATCGGCAATTCACCATCATTTTTGTTGCTCTCCATGATAACACAGAGAGGGGGACAAACACATGTAGCCAACAGCAATTCTGTATGTTTAGAATACTTTCAATAATAATATCTCAGAAACGATTTATGAAACAAGTAGAAACAATTGAAAAATACAATTTTCTGAGTGTTTATAAAGGAAATTTAAATTGATTGTGTTTGAACACATGTGGAAGGACAATGTAGGAGGAGTGGTGTTTAGAAAAGACAGTTAGTAGGGTAACTAAGTGTGTATTGTACATAGATATCATTTTTTTTAAACACGTAACCAATAAAACCCTGCAAACTAACACTCAAAATTTAATCTGATCCTCACTAGGGATTGGCTCTATACAGGAATCTACCTGGCAGTCTAGTGAGAAATCGTGCCCAGTAAGATCCACATGGTCATCAAGGCGCCGACATTGCCTGGCGATCGCGTTGTGTATCGCGATTTGGCAGATGTTGGAATTCATGGGCCATTGGGTCGGGTCTCAGTGGCTGAATGGTTTTCAGACTAAACTTGTAACCGGGAGGCTCTACATAGGAGCCCAGGTGGATGCGTACACCTGAAGAGTCCCAAACAACGAGGATGGGACTACTGTCCAATACTTCCTGGTTTTACAGTGGTTCTCTAATTGATGGCAGCTTGTGACCGGACTTTTAAATAAGTTTACTGTGAAAAAAAGCGGCATGTAGAGAAAAATTCCTGTGTTACCCACTAAAGATGGTGTTATTCAGTGTGCT